CCACTCTGCTCTGTCCCCAATCTGCTGCACACCACACACAGACTGCCCACGCTGCAGGATGGCCACCCCTGGTCTAGACTGGAGTAACACAACTGATATTAACATTTCCCCATAGGCATATTTGTGAGCAGGGCTCCAGCACAGAACTAACGCTGGAAAACCTTGTGACTTTATTCTTATCGTCCAGCGGGGTCATGCAACAGAAAAATGCTAAGGACGAGATGACCTTTTTCTCCACACCTCTGAATCTATTCTGCTAACCACTTCAGATCCGCAGGAGGCATGGTAAAGAGGCTCACACCAGCTTCTTTTTCTTTAAGTTCTGTTACAACACAAATCAGTGAACAACTGTGCACTGACTTGCACTTTCTCCTAGCATTGTTACATATTATAGGGCTTGTTCTTCCTACATACAAAGTTTAGCAGGAAAAAAGCATCTATATGTTGGATACTCCTAAGTACAATTTAAAGATTTGTTTGATGTTTTCAGTTTGCACGTGGGGTTGTGCTCCTTATCTATGGCCAATAGTCTTTATACAGCACTTCCCAAATAATACAACTAAAACATCCCAGCCTGAAGATTTGAGAGTGCCCACGTCTACACAAGCAGTTGTTACTGTGCACTTGTTTAGTACCTGCTTAACCAAGTACTAAATGACTGTGCAGTAACCGTCATTACTGTGCAGTACTGTTGCCACACATTTTTTTAGACACTACTGCGCAGCAGCAACAATCTATTGCACAGTAATTCATTACTGCTGCGCTGTAGTGTCACCATCACGGTTCATGCCCAGCAACGCTATGGCGCTGTAGCAATGCACTATAGTGCAGTAGCTCATTGCTACTGTGCTGTAGCCTTGCATGTAGTAGATGCACCTGTTTTCCCATAAATTAGACCTGTTTGTTCCACTTACAGCCCTCCAAAGCCCTAGTGGGATTTATCTCCCCTTAGGGCACAATTGAAGGACTGCGGCCCAAAGACCTGATCCTGCAGATGCACAAATGAGTAATGCTACTCAGGTGAACAGTTGTATTGGGTTATAACTTTCCATGTGTCTAACATTATGTGTGCAAGCATCTGCAAGTCTTTAGTATTTATTTTACTACCTCACTCTGGGGGGACTATTCCCAGTACCATTTATAGGTTCTGGCCCTATACCTTTAGAGTTTGGAACAAAATCTGCCCTCATTTATACTGATGTAAATCAGGAATAATACCACATCAATATAACTAAGACAGAATCTGACCCTTAACTTTTATATTTCTTTGTCCAGGTTAAGTGTTATATTTTGATGTTGTTTTGTCCTGAATTATTAACACTCAGCGTTGCTGACTACACAAAGAATGTATTACTACTTTGCACTGGGAACAGACTGATTCCCATTCCCAGTTTTGATAGGCCTCGATCTCCCGATACTCAGCTTCTTTGCTTTGGCTAATCATGTGTCTGCTATACCTGAGAATTTCTTAGCTGCTCCCCTGTGCTGTGCTTAGCTTGCTGTGCCTGGTTGCCTGTAATCAGAGACCTGAGCAAGAAAGTCTCACATTTGAAAGCTGGTCAGACTTCATCCCAACTACAGAGTTGGCCCAATAAAAAGAGGTCCTCCTTAAGCAATCCTTGCCCCTTGCGTGAATTATTTCTGAAATCCTTTGGTATGGGAAGCTGAATAAAGGGTCCCAAAGCTGAGCAGTAATGTAAATACTTTGCCATGATACATTTAGCAAATATTAAAGCAAACCACAGACAGAATAAATGAATTTCCCAGTGGCAAAGCTGCTGGAGAGCTGGGGAACAAAAGAGTTTCGAGAGGGGAATTTTCCTGGCTCTTGGTAAATAAAAATAAAATGTAAAAAAACCACCATCAAATGAAACTAGTAAATCATAGGTTTAAAACAAGAGGCTTTGGATGCAGCGTGCAATTAAGGGGTGAAGCTCGTTGCCACCAGAAGTGGTGGAAGCTGGCAGGAAGAAAAAGGGACTGGCCAGACCCTCGGAGGAAAGCTTAAATCCCCATGGGGAAAACAAATCAACCCGTGGCACCCCCTTCACCCTCTGCTCCCTGGCCCTGCAGACAGGGACCCGTGGCGTGGCCCAGGGCAGTCCCCCGGCTGTCTGCGCACACCAGTGCTTGCAGCCCAGAAGCAGATGACAAAGCCCCAGCTGCCCTGCACCTTCCAGCTACGGATAGCAGGGCCCTGAAGGCAAGGGCTTTCCTAGCTGTTCGGAGCTACCTCGCCCAGCGGGACAAAAGCAGCCCGCCCCTGCGCGCGGGGAGGCAAAAGGCGGCGCGGAGCGCGCAGGCACCGCTGGGATTCGAACCCAGGATCTCCTGTTTACTAGACAGGCGCTTTAACCAACTAAGCCACGGCGCCGGCCGCTACGCCGACTCGCGGCGCGGCCCCAAGACACCGCGGGCGGCGGGGAGGGAGCGAGCAGCGGGAAGCTCGGCTCGTGTGCGCGCGGGTTGGACGGCCCGAGCACGACGAGCCCCCGGAGGAAGGCAGCTGAGGACACGACACGCAAGGCCCCGGTGCAGCAGTTTCCTTCGGCCCAGAGCGTGTGCCTGAATCCTCAGCAGCTCCCTCCTCCACGGACGAGCGCGGCGCTGCCTGTGCACGGACTCCTGCAGCTCGCTGAGCTCCGGCAGCCGCAAATCCTCCTTTTTGCCAGAGCCGGGCCCACCCCGGCAGGCAAGTACCGGGCCGCCGCGGATCCCTGCATCGCGCGGTCGCCACGTGGCGGGGATGAACGTAGCCGGGCATGGCCCCCGCTCAGCACGGCTACAAGGCCACACAAAGCTGTCGGCTGAATGCTGAGGTCGGGACCTGGGGCTTCTGGCACGACGGAGCACTCCGCAAAAGGGGCAAAGTTTGTCTGGACAAGATGGAAAACTTCCTTTGCCTAAGACAACACGAACTCCCCAAGACTCACAGTCATCAAAACCTGCTTCCCTTCCAAGTGCAAGGCACATTTCTTTGACTCTATCTTCTCTAACATAAAATACACTCATGTATTTAGGGTATTTTGTTTCATTTTGATATACATGCAGATACCAAAATGGCTTAGTTGCATCAACTAATGGCCCGGTGTTTAGTTGATACATACATATTTTTACCTATATCAAAATGAAACAAAATACCCTAAAAAAAACAACACTACCACAACAAGATACTTCACTGCACATCCTTCTCCCCTTGGGACAGGAGAAGAGAACAAACAACATCATGTGACATATTAGTCACAGATTAATGTGGGGGGGGAAGCAGCTGGATACTGTAATGATGAGTACAGAGTATGCACCTTCATAGACCAGAAGCGGGTGAGACAACAGGACAGGCAGTGGCACTAACCCGACAGGAAATGGCTGTAGGTAGAAGCAGACGCTTCTGAGAATAAGGGGGAATATGGCAGACAGTCCTCGGAAGCTCTTAAAGCCATGAAACAAGCATATGATTCAGTTCCTGAATTGCTTAATTTTATTATTTGGTTAGGACTGTATTTTGCAAAATTAGTCTCCAAACAGGCTGTTTATTCACAAGTACTAAATTGGCTGAAATCCCATTATGATGTAGTTGCAGAATTTCCTTTTCTCTTTATTCTTTGTCCTATTTTAGAAAATCAATTCTGTTAAATAAGTAGCTATAATACACACTGGCTTAATAAAACTTGTATTTGCTACCCCAAAGAAAGAATGTTTGATTTATTTTTCTTATTTTGGGAACTAAAAATACCCTTTCAAAGAAAATTTCTAACCATTCATATCTGAATGTCACACTATTCATGCACAAAAATCTGTCTACTTAGCAATTGGTCTCACTGTCTCAACTGAAAAACTTAAGAGCTTTGATTTCTTATCTGAAAGGGCCAAGAAGAACAAAAGGCATCATGAGTTCTAATATAAAAGTACTACTTAATTAAACTAACTAGTTTCAAATGTGTGGAAATTAGTCCAGAATTCCTATTCACATTTAAGACTACTTATTCCAACAAGAAAATGTGCATATACCATATTATATATTTTGAAAAAAACAACTCAGGTACACATCACACTGCGTTTTCCTCAACCTTTTACAAAAACATAATGATATTTTAAAAGAAAAGGAAGAAAGTATTTGAATTTTACTGCAACTTGTCACCTAATTTTTTATGCAATATTTTACCCAGTAAAGCTGGATGAAACATACCATAACCTCGGGGTCAATTTGTAGGGTCAAAATCAATGCCCACTGCTTGAAGGCACAATGAAAGACCGTTTGCAAAGATCTTCCAAAGTACAATGAACAAAGCACAAATATGTGTAATAAAATGGTCAAATATGGTGTAGACATGAGAAGAAGATGACCTTGGGATTCCAGCTGTTGTTTCAAAGGCACCACAAGAAATACATTCAAAAAGGAAGAAATCTACATATGTATAATGGATTTCCCTTTGTTTCACAGCTTAATTACATTCCAGGCTGCTACATGCTCCTTACTAAGGTAAAAGTTACTTTTTTTCCTAATAAATTCCTCTTAAGAGGACGCAGTCTGACTACAAACTCATTCTCATATAACTACTGAATAGGGGTGGTCTTTAGAATACTGGGAAGTGCTGGAATTGTTCTGTACGTGGCAAGAGCAAGTCTGTATTATACTGAATTTATACAGAGCTCTCCTAGAACTTTTTAATGAAGAGTAAGGAGGTAATTTTCTAATACAGGGCAGCATTACTTGTTTTCAGAAATTATGGCTTGATCTTGTCATGTTATATTAGGAAACTTCTGCACACCTGATCAGCGAATCAAAAGTATTTTTTAATGTAAAGGTCAATGTACGGCACGGGTTTAAAGGAAGTTCTTAGTTTTCTGTGTGCATAAAATATATACAGGAGTGTTGGTTATAACAGTGGTGGTCTAAGGACATAGGCAGACAAGGATTTTTGGGTAAATGTGATAATTTTTGTTAGACCAACTAAATACAGTAGTTGGAAAAATAGTTCTTTGCAAGCTTAACATTTTTCCAACTATTTAGTTGGTCTAATAAAACATTTACCCAAAGAATCTTGTCTGCCTAAAATACATACAGATATTCACAAATATGCACAGACATATGCTTAATATACCCCAGGTATTAACAAATAGACATTTCTGGGATGAATTTAGAGATCAGGAGAACATGTAGGTGGCAACGGCATGATATTTCTTGTTGGCATAGCCAGTCGACAAAATACACACTTTGTTACCACACCAGAATCATTGCATTGTAGGAGCGAGAAAGGCTTCTCACAGTCTTCACACTGATGTAAATGCAAAAAAAAAGAAAAAAAAAAGGCTGTCAATTAATTGATTACACATGACAGTCAAGTTCTATCAAGTTCTATTATTCATGTACAAACCTGATTTCTGAGCTTCATGTGCTTTAACTCCAAGTGGAGCTCAGGCTCAGTCAGTCCTTGCACATAAAACTTTCTTAAATATGCATTTATCTTTTCTGTGGTTTGTAATATTGCATTAGCAAATAATATTATTTCTATAGCACTGGAAGTATGATGGGATTTTAGAAAACAAAGATGGGCTCTCTGCTCCAATATAACAATGATTAGAACTACATTTTTATTTGAAATTAAAACTGAAAGCTGTTAAAATAGCTCTTTAGTCCCTCCTTTTGCTCTTTTAACTCCATTCCTCTGCTAAATCACCTGATCCTTTGCATTACAGAAGCTATGAAACAGAAATAAATAAGCAGACCACAAAAATTGCCCTTTCCCCAATTCCTATCATATCATAAAACTACTGTTGGTGTTATGAATTACGCTCTTAAAGCCACGTGCAGTTCGCTCTAGGCTGGGGCAATGATCACGCGGAGCAAGTATCCAAAGTCAGATACAGAATCTTTATTTGCTGCAGCGAGGTGCCTCCGAAGAGGGACCCTGCCTACCAGATATAATACTATTTTATACTTTGTTAGTACGTCAGTGTTAGTTCGTGATTAGCTTATGCTCGTAAAAATACCCAATCATCTATTAACTAAATCACTATTCTATCCAATCAAGTGACACTGTGAGCGTGAACACCGAAGTTTAACTCTTGTGACTACATGCCCCATATATTTTTGCCAAGATGAATCTTATCTTACAAAAACAAGCCTTGTACGGCCTCTAAGGTTCCTCTGTTGACGAGACTCCTCTGTTGACTGGATTCAGCTAGTTTCATATCTTATCAGTAACCCTTACACAGTACCCCTCTTCCCCCAGCCGTCTCATAAGTGCTGTGTCTGCTTTAATGAAATGGAGGCGAAAGGACAAGGAAATGGCCTCACTGGCTAAGCCTT